CTCCTCCTTGGCTGACTCGGGTGTCCAGTCCCCCAGTCTGCCTTCTCTGGAGTGGAGCCCCTGGTGATACTTTGTCTTCTCACCCTGCACAGGCCCACTCTCTGCCCTTCCACTGTCTGCTTATTCATGCACCAGTAGATGCTCAGTGAGTGTCTGCAGGCGCACAGTTGCCTCGTCGTGCCCCTTCCTTCCTTCTTGGGGGGACTTTGTGTTCCGCACTCCTCTATATATGGAGGACGTTGACTGAATCCTGTAGTGGTAGTTGTGCCTGTTGCTGACTGTTCGCTGCCATATGACCTTGGGTACGTGATCACCTCCCCCAGTGTCCACTTGTTCCCTGGTCAGTCCTCAGGGACAGTCTGGGACAATCCAGGAAAAGGGCTTTCCCGGCCCTAGGATTATTTGGGGGTTGAGACTGTCAGCTGGAGCCCGCTCGCCTCTGGAACACGCCTGTCGTCTTAAGCAGTGGAGCTCCATTGGGGATTTTGTCTTGCACGTGTCTATGTGGTGTGTACCAGCAAGGCTTCCCTTCACAGTGTTCAGAAGCCAGGCTGCCTGAATTCCTCGCCCTCCACCTGCCAGGCCGCCTTCCTGCCTCCCTACCTGCAGTAGTTTCCTCAGCGGCTGCCCTCTGTCTGGACTCAGACCTTCCATCTTGTATGCCTACTAGCAAGTTATGACATTTCTCTTCTGTGAGGGAGAGCTGCCTGAGGGCCATTCTGTATGGAAAACTCCCTCCATCAGGCAGCCCTGACCCCATCCGCCTCCAGCACAGCCACCTTCAGTATCTGGTATGCAGTCATCAGGTGCCGGCACAGACCTTTGTAAGCTCCAGTCCCCAGCCCCAGTCACTCTGAGGTGCTGGCCTCCTTTCTTCCCCTCCTATCTTCTGGGGTCACCTGGATGAGGCCTTCTGTAGCTGACCCCCTCCTGGCTACTGTGTGGTAACTTTTCTCTGGGAATTTTCCAAAATGCTGTGCACACAACTTTTTATCTGTTTAGTGCCAGTTCTCATCCCTTGACAAGAGAATATGGAGTGCCTGGCAGCAGGGGCTTTGTATGCCCTCCCCCAAAGGCCAGGAAACCCTGAATGAGTGACAGAAAAAGGCCGTGACAAAGGTGCTGTTCTGCTTGACACCTTGGATGATGCCTGCAGCCACTACCTCTGAGCTGCCCTCCTGGACCTGGCTGCACCTTCCTTCCCTCTCAAGGGTGCACCCAGGCCCCTGTGACTCCACCTTCTGGAGCCAACTGTGCATCTCTGGGTGGGTCCCAGGCAGGTACCCCCCCATCAGGAGTGTTCCCACTTTTCCCAGCGCTTCCCTACATTCTTTGCATTCCAGGAGGCTCCAGTGGCATCTGCCTGCTGGAGTCACCACTGCCAGAGGGGATGAGCAGTGTGGGTCAGTCTTGTTCTGAGATGCTTGGGGACAGTATGGACGGGACACCAGGGACGTGTGGCGGAGGCCAGCACATGCTCTGAAGGCCTACCAGGGCTGCCCTGAGAACAAGGGCACTCCGCCAGGACCCTGTGGCCACCCCCGGCCAAGGTCAGCCTGAGTGGCAAGGCAGGCTTACTCGTGTTGGAAGCACTGGGGGGCCTTGGTGTCAGATGACGTGCTCATCAGAAACACCCTGTCACACCCTGCCCAGCGGACTTCACTGAGGGAAGTGCCTGTGTGGGGGCTGGAAACAGACTAATGTTGTCCTGTAGGGGCTGCTGAACTCTGAAGTCTCGGTTTTAACATTGCTGACATGGGGCCCAAGTATTTTCTTCTTTGGACTGCTATAGTATTTAAAGAGGCTGGTTGTAAAGTTTATTAGCACTTGATATGTGCTGGACATTGTAAATACTGCTAATGCAGAGTACGCTGCTGAGAGTGTGGGGCCACTGGGGGATTGTCAGCCACCGCAGGAGATGCGACTGCTCTCCAGTTGAATGGCAGGCTGCTCTGCGCTCCCCTAACCTCCCCCAAACAAGGGGCTTCTCTTGCTGAGTGCAGTGTCCAGGACGCTCGAGAGACGCCTGCTGCTGTCCTCCCGTCCCAGCCCCTGTCCTCCTCTTTGAGCTCAGCTCCGGGCTGTGGTTTCCTGGCGTGGGACAAGACACAGAAGACACACTACCCCACACTGTGTCTGAGGGCTGTGAGGGGGGCACACGCTCATTGAGGGGTTCAGAATTATATTGTGAAAAATGATCAGGTTTTTCCAAGCGTGTGCCCTGTGGAGCAGAGTCAGTTTGAAAACCCGAGTCCAGATATTTATTTAAGGAGTGAAGTCAGGCAGGGATAGTGCCAGCCATCAGGGGCTCCGTGTGAACCACGGTGGTGTAACCCGTTGGGGTGCCCTGGGTGGTGTCAGCACTCGGAGAGAGTTGGCAGCTGGGCCAAGGGGAGCAGGCCCACTCCTGGCAGGTCAGGAAGTGGTGATGGACAGAGGTGTTGCTCAGTGTACTATGAGAAATTGTGGACCTGCTGGAAGACATCGCTTTGGCTCTCGATTATGAGGCAAGAATAAATACCAGCTGTGTTTAGCATCAAGCGAACAGACCAAATGATCAATGACAAGGTCCTATTTTATTCTGCTGGTGTCTGAGGGAGGCAAGTGTTGTGGAAACAAGGAGTGAGCTGTGAGTGTTAGGAGAAGTCTCTTGTGGAAGAAGCACTTGCAGCACACCTGAGCCGTTCAGGACAGGTAGGAGCAGCACTTGTTCATGTGTGGCATGGGTGTACACTCGCAGTGCGGCCGGCGGTTGGAGGAGCGTGTGCTGATGTGGTGGTCCTCACTCCTGAGATCACGAGAGTCGTGGAAACACCTGTCCTGAGGTCTTTGAATGCCTGATGTAACGGGTGAAAATGATGCAAGTTTCAGAAGCTGGGAAGCACAGTGAAGCAAGGGGCATTGATGGGAAGGAGAGTCTGGTGTGTGTGTGTGTGTGTGTGTGTGTGTGTGTGTGTGTGTGTGTGTGTGTGTGACGTCCTGCTGCTTTGGTTCCACTTGTGGGATTGCACAGGAGGTGCTGGCAGCACCATGCTCCCCTCAAGATTCTGTGCCCTGAGATGTTTTAGTGAATTTCTCGGTGGTGGTTTCTGGACATTTGCAAAGGAGTTGCCTGGGGCTCAGTTGACAAGGGATCCCACCCACACCCCTCCCGGGCATTCTTGCCCACCCACTGAGAGGAATGCACTGGGTCTTTGGGTTCCTCCTCAGGTGCTGTACTCCCTGCCATGGCAGCCATGCAGACTGGTCCCTGCAGCTGCAGTGGGCGATGGCGTAACACTGACAAAGCCAACACAACAGCCAGGACCTCAGCGTGTCACCATTCCTCTGTGATCTGAGTGGCCAGCCCTGGCAGCCCTGGGAGTTTCCCAGAGTGCACCAGGGGCCGGAGATTGCTGACTGGCCTCATGGACAGCAGGCCTTGTGACTGTTTGGCTGGCTTCTAAGGCCTTTTGTGTTTGGGTGCTGTGTCTTGCGGTAGTCACAGTAGGTCTTCATCAGCAGAGGCTGTGACCTCATTGGCCTTTCCCGGGGAGGGGTTTTGGACTGCCGCTGGCGTGCCTTGGAGCCTGTTCTCGCATTTTCCATAAACTGGGAACTCTTTAGGCCTGTTACTCTTCCAGCCACTTGTCAAGCCGAGGATGTATGTCTGTGGCTGCTTTTCCCCAAAGTGCCCGGAAGTGCGCGGTATTCCTTCATGTCAGCCACTGTTTCCCACCGCTGTGGGACTGACAGATGTCTCAGGGAGGAGTGGGCCCCCGGAAGGCATTCAGGGCACCATGTCTTAGAGCCTCGTCCTGGGTCTCTGCTTCAGCTGGGTGCTGCTCCTGAGCAGTACTGGCCATCTGTGCCATTGGCAGTCGGGTTTGGGGTCAGATTGCGGACACTCTGGTCAGAACCCACCTGCTGGTTGGGCTCCCTGTGAGTGAAGAGGTGGCCTTGAGGTTGCCAGTATGCAGGGCATGGTGGTGATGTGTGGCTGCCCAGTGCAGAACCTGGCCAGTACTGTCGCCCTGGTAAGGGTCTCTCTTCCTTCTCTGGGTTCTTTCTGTCTCAGCTGAGGCAAGAGAAAAATGAGAGGGCAGATGGCTATATTTTCCCCCCTAGATTTATCTAGTTTTATTGCTGAGAGAAGAACAGAGATAGCATGATCTCAGAGCCACGTGGGCCCACCATAACCATCCCAGAGTAGATAGACTTGCACGTGCATGAGCCCTGGGGGTAGCCGTGGCCTCTCTGTCCTGTGTCCACAGACTTTGAGGGCGGGGCCTGGGGATGGCGTGTGCCCTGCCTGGGGCCAGTGCTGTGCTGTCAGTGCCTCCCAGCCTTTGCATCTGCCCTAAGCATCCTGAGACCAAGCACCCTTGCCTCCTTCACTTGAGGGAAATCCTGCTTGTCAACCCCAAACTTGTACGTGCTCACTTCTCTGCCGTCTTCCTGTGTCTGCTCTTCCCCAGGAGTAGAATCCCCCAGGCCCCTTTGAAGGCAACAGCTCAGTCCTTAGACCTCCCATGTCATAAAGCAGACCCCGTGCCAACTTGGCGTGGTCATTAAACGGTGGCCACTTCTACCAGCTTCACGCCCATGTCCAGGGAGTGAGGAAGGCCCCCGACTGTGAGGGCGTGGTCTTTGTTAGTGTGTGTGTGACTTGTGCGTAGTTCAGTTTGTAAGCTACCCTGTGTCCTGCCCCTGAGAGGGAAGGAGCCGTCCAGTGGAGAGGTGGTGATGTCTGCTCACCTTGCTCTGCTGGACCTCCCCCTCGGTCACATTCCTGAGGCAGAGGAACGATGAGTGGGGGGGGAGGGACCGTGTGGACTCTGTTCCACCGCAGCCTCACAGGAGCCGTAAACAGGAACCGTCTGGGCCGCGTGCTGCCCTGATTGAACTGCTGTGGTTTGGAGCAGGCGACGGGGAGGGGCGCTGTCCGCGGCCTTCTCTCCTGCGCTGACCCTGTGTGTCTCTCCTCGACCAGGCAGACCACGGCCCCGAAGCCTTGAAGGATGGGTAAAGACTTCCGCTACTATTTCCAGCATCCCTGGTCGCGCATGATTGTGGCTTACCTGGTGATCTTCTTCAATTTCCTCATATTTGCCGAGGACCCAGTCTCTCACAGCCAGACCGAAGCCAATGTCATCGTGGTTGGAAACTGCTTCTCGTTCGTGACCAATAAGTACCCCCGTGGCGTTGGCTGGAGGGTGCTGAAAGTGCTGCTCTGGCTGCTGGCCGTCCTCACCGGACTGATAGCCGGCAAGTTTCTGTTCCACCAGCGCCTGTTTGGTGAGTACGGGGTTGACTTGTTTGAGTTTTGTTGCTCTCAGGGCATTTCCCTTTTCCCTCCAGCACAATGGGAAACCTTGTGCGAGGTTCCTCAGTTAGTCTCTCAGGGATCCCTTTGCACACTGCCCTCAGCAAAAATTGGTACCAGATTTCCTTTCCGAAATCTGGCCAGTGAGCAGTTGGGAGATCTGACAGGGTGCTGTGTGTTAGAGGAGGCAGGGTGCTCATTCAGGCATGCAGAACTGGAATTCTAGCTTGCAGTGCTCATTTCCTTTGAGCACTTACTGCTTTTCAGCTGGTTCACCCACACAGCAGCACAGTTGTAGGCCGGTTGGTCCGAGTTGGAAAAGTCTCTGTAGGTGTGGGGACGCTGCAGAGGCCGAGGATGCACGCACCAGAAGTAGGCCCTGAGCTGAGCAGGGCTGAGTCTGTAGGGCACTGCTATAGGTGTCTTCAGTCTAGACATGGTTAGAAACGAGGGCCAATGTTTTAAGCGATAAAATACACTTTCATGTGCATGTGCATCAGTGGACTGCGATATTTTTGCACCAGAATGAGTTTATTTTTAGCTTGTGTTTTCCACAAAATTCTTGCAGTACCATTGGGCATGTAAGATTATATTCACTGTGTCTTTTCCGTCTGTTGACTCCTCAGGCCTTTGCCATTTGTCCCTGTATTTTATAGTTACTGTCTATGTGTGTGTATAATATCCACATTTATTTATATGTCCATACATCCAAGGAGTGTGGAGGGCAGTGGAAGACGAGGGAAGTGTTCACACGTGCTGGCAGTTTGGGGAGCAGCAGTCACCCGGTCTCAGGGTGATTCCTTGAGCCACTCACGGTTGTGGGGGAAGGGGCCAGATTGAAATGCAGACTAAAGAAAAAGGAAAAAGTCAGCATGCCTGCTGCGTCTCTGGCACGGGAGCCAGTAGAAGTGGTGGCCTGAGTGAGGAAGGATGCGAGCGCCTGGTTGCAAGATACGGCTGTGAGCGAGGTGGAGTCCGCTTTGTTGCCAGGGATGTTGGAGTTGACGCTAGGCAGAGGAGAAAGTGAAGCTGCAGACAGGAGGGGTTGGTAACGTGCGGGTCAATAACCCCGGGAGTGCCAGGATGAATGAACGTGGGACGAGAGGGCTGCTGCTGATAGCTGGGGCTGTTGAACTGAGCCTCTTTGCGCTGGAATGACACCAGTACTCAGCGTTTCTCAGGAAGAGGTCAGTCACCTGGGAGGGAATCTGGGAGGGAGCCATGTGGTGAGGAGTGCTCCAACCTGCTGTGTTGGGAAGAAAGGAGGGTTCCAGTAGAAGGGGTCTTGGTTTGTTTAGCAGGGGTCCTGGCTGGACTGGAGAGCCTGTGAGGGACACGGTGGTCTGGGAGGAGTGGTCCAGGGTCTGGAGCTGGCAGTGACTCCGCCAGGGGACCTGGGAGTGAGGGGAAGGGAATGAGCTGAGAGTGTGACTGTGGGCATTGTGACTCATGAGCAGGAGAGGCGGTCACTGGCACAGATGGTGTGTCCCTAGGGACTGCGGGAGGGATGCAATGATGGTGAGGAGGGTCAGTTCCCCGAGTGGGGTGCTTGGGCAGCACAGTAGCAGATTCTGTGGCAAGCAAGAGCTGGTTGTCACTGTGACCCGTCCAGAAATTCCTCTCAGAGACCAGACAGACTAAAGATGAAATCTAGATTAAAGATGGATTTACTTATTAAACATTGATTGGGGCTTGTGTGATTTACAGAGTAAAATCAAAAAGGAGACATTTGGTTTTGCAGTGGATGCATCTTGTGAAGTTATTTTTGCAGACTTGTGCTGAAATCCCATTTCAGTCATGGACAATGTCTGGTTCTGTGGGTGTGTGCACTGCAGTCCTGAGAAAGCAATGCAGACTTCAGGGGCTTTGTGCAGCGCCAGAGGTTTCAAAATCCTGCAAAATGATAATTAGGACTAGATTTCCTGCCTTTGTCTATACCTACAATTCCATGATGTACTTATACACCAGGATGTTAAACTTGTGTTATTAAAGCACTGTACTACTGTAATAATATGGGGGAAATGGTGGAGGGGAAGTTGGCCAGCGAAGAAGGGGAGGAGAACCCTGTATCTACAAAACTGTATCATAGAACATAATAATAGCCATAAAAAGTCTTTAGGAAAAGATTTATTTAGTTGAAAGAGTGAGAGAGAGAGGAGGGAGGAATAAGGGAGAGAATCCCCCATCCACTGCTTCACCCCTGCTCTGAACGGCCACAACTGCTGGGGCTGTGCCAGGCTGAAGGCAGAGCTGCTTCCCGGGGCCCAAGTGTAAGCGTGGGAACTCGATGATGTTTTGTTGTGTGAGTGTAACTCTGTGCAGGGCAGCCGGGCTCCCTCATCTCAGGGCTACAACAAAGGAATGACTCCTCTCCTGACTGTGTTCCTTGCTTGTTTATCTTTTGTGATGCATTCGGGGAGCCTCTGTTAGGGGTGATATTTATTCCCCTCCTGCCCTGTCACATCCTGTGCACGCACTGGGAGGGGCTGTCTGTCTCCCACCAGGCAGCATTGTCCATGTTGTAGCTGACAAGCAAGTGGGCTCGGTGCGAGTGGACACGCCTCTATGATTAGTGTATGGTTCCCTCCCGAACACACGTCTACAAGCTCTTACATATTAGATGGTTTAGGTGGTGCCTGGTTTCCCAGCTGGGCCACAGGGGCAAGAGTCATGTTGCTGTCACTTGCCACTTACACTTGGGAGGATGGGGGTTCTATCAATAGTATTTTGCCTCTTAATTTTTAAAGTGCCGGCAGCAAGGCCTGGCATGGCTGTTCCCTGTGGATTTGACTGAGTAAACACATTAGCCTTTCTTCCTCCTATGTGCTGTCTGGGGTGGAGCTGCCTCGCTGTGGGCTCCAGGAGGGTTTCTGCTCCCAAGCAGTTGAAAGCTGGGGGAGGGGCCAAGGGGCATGCTCCCAGGATTCAGTGCTCTGATGGCAGGAGGCCGTGCTTACTGGTACCAAGTAACCAGAGTGGACCGTGTGCTAGGCGGACTGAGAAGGAGGATCATGGTGGGAAGGGGAGGGATAGCTGTATGGCAGACGTGGGGGCTAAAGCCAGTCCGGTTCACCTGGGATGAGAGGGGCAGGTACACTACAGGGAACTCTGCTGCGTTCAGGATGAGGGGCGGATGGTGAGAGCAGGGTGGTGAGGCCAGCTTGGCTTATCTGAGAGCAGGGACACACCCAGCACGGCGGCGTGTCTGGACGGCTTTGAGAGAGGGACGGGCAGGCAATGCCAGGAAGCTGGGATGCTGACGCTGCACTTGGCCACTTCCCTTACAGTCTCTGAATCAGGGAAAGCATTGGAACAGGCAGTGAATGCTGAGCTTGGTCTTGAAGCAGGAGCGATGGGATACAGGAAAGCAGAGACGCTGGGGGAGTCAGAAGAAGGGAGGAAGGCACTGTCCAGTTCACCAGCAGTAAATCTGACTGGGCTGGGCAGGTGAGGATGGACAGGATGCCCCCGCCCACCCCAGTGAGGATGGCTTGTGAGGGGCAGGGGAGGGAGGCCTGTGTGTGAGGTCAGTGAGTATGTGCTTGGGGGAGAGTGGCAAATGAGGCAGTGATGACTCCAGATACCTCAGGAGAGCATACTGTGTGTTTGCACGGCCTAACCAGGCCCAGTCCTTGTGTCTGAGGCCTCGATGCTAGCCATGTCTCTAGATGGTGTGTGTAGGTTGTGCTGCTCCGTGACCCATCATCAAACACATCTCTGTTTCATTAGCAGGGAGCTGGCTGGATAAGAATGGAGAAGCTACCACTTGAACCTGTGCCCATGTGGGATGCCAGTGTTGTGGAGGATGGCTCAACCTGTGCACCACAATGCTGGTTCCAAACTTGAGTCCTCTTGCTCATTTCAGGGGTTTCATAGACATCATTTGAACAGGTCCCATGGGACCCAGCATGGTAGCCTATCAGAGTCCTCGCCTTGCAAGCGCCAGGATCCCATATGGGTGCTAGTTTATGTCCCAGCTGCTCCACTTCCTTTCCAGCTCCCTGCTTGTGGCCTGGGAAAGCAGTCGAGGATGAGCAAAGCCTTGGGACCCTGTACCCGCATGGGAAACCTAGAAGCTCCTGGCTCCTGGCTTCAAATTGGCTCAGCTCTGGCATGGCCACTTGGAAAGTAAACCATCAGATAGAAGGAATTTCTATCTTTCTCTTCTTCTTTCTATAAATCTGACTTTTCAATAAAAATAAATAGATCTTGAAATATATGCAGTAGGTCCCTTGACCAGGGCCTGTATCTATAGAAACTTTCTCCTCTCTGTGGCTCTGATCACAGAATTACCCCTGGCTGACTGCCAGTGTGTTTAGCATGCCTGTGTGACCCCGCCCCCGCAGGCCACCGGAAGTGCCTGGACTGGTTTGGCCACTCTCGCTCATCCAGGCGTGCGTTGTTTGGAGGAAATTCTGAAGCATTTGGAGAGAAGTCTGTGTTCTCATGTACACTGAGCACTCTTAGGCACTACGTAGTTCTCAGAAGTTCTTCTGGGTTTGATTCCAATGGGAAAACGAGCCCACACCAACAAAGGAGTGGGTGTTTAATGGCGAGAATTAAATCAGGAAGTTCATGGAAAACATATATTTTTTAAAAGCTATGCATGGATTTCAAAATTACTCTTCATCAAGGCAAACTTGGCTTTCAGTTCCAATTCTCGTGAACTTTTTGAGGTTCCTGGGTGTATCCCCAAGCGTACATTCTCCATTGCTGAACTTTGCCCTTCCTTCCTCGGTCAACACACTGGCTAATGATTACATACGTGATTGTGCCCTTGCCCAGAGGTCACTGATGTAAATGAGGATGGCCCTGCCCACTTAATGGAGTGAGCTGTGACTCAGGCATTTCCCAGCACTCTGTCACGGGAACCACCTGCCAGCGAGTCATCATTGCCTGCAGAGATCAGCGCTTGGCTGGCAGACAGTGCTGGCGCCAGCACCATTACAAGCCTCGGCACTTTCTAAAAATA